ACCCCCAGTGCTAAGAGGTTCCTGCAAGACGTCCTTCTCCCTCCCGTGGGGAGGAGGAGGTGGAATATGCATTGGCCACACTCAAAGCATGAAAAAATGTGGTGCCACCTTTACTGAGGATGGCTTAGCAGCTTGTTTGGCAAGCAGTCCCATCAAATCCAGTGAGCAGCTAAGCTGTAACAATAGCTTCTGTCCTGAGCGAGGAGCAGCATGAAGCTGTGTGACCCTGGGAGCAGGCATCCAGAGAACCACAATCCCCACCTGGCCCTGGGAGAAGGTGCTTCACTTCTTGTCTTTACTATGCACCAGGCTAACTGATCTGGGCAGAGTAAGTAGAAACAAGAGGTCCTCCTTCCTCTGCCCCTCTGTGCCCACCGTCTCACAGTGGGAAGTAGCCACGGCTCCCCCCCATCTCAGTCAGACCCGAGCCAGGGCAATACAGGCTATGATAATCAAAGATGATCCTGGCTGTATGCATGTGAGGCAGAACCAGGCCCTTGGAAGATGTGCAAGGAACAAACTTTTACAAGAGTGTATTGCAGAGATGAGAAGGGGAGACATTAATCATATTTAATGAGGATCCAATATAATATCCCCGTATTGGAGATAAAATGTGCAACTGTGGGTAGGGAAGCAGCGACGGACAGAAGCAATGCAGAGAGAACTGGGCACGGCACCTCCTGCAAAATTAAAGAGGATCATTTGCTTGTGATGCAGTAGTTAGAAGGTAAATGCAATCTTGGGATTCATAACCAGGGGCGTTGTGTGTAAGGGCAGGGAAGTAATCCTTTCCCTCTAGCACAAGGCTAGTTAAACTGCAGCTGGAGTCATGCAGAAGGTTTTAGGCAACGTACGGCAGAAAGGAGAGAGAGAAATAGCTAGGAGAGTAGATGGCAGCCACTAGAATGATAAAGGGTTTAGAGGGAATGACTGTGAGGAAAGAGATTAGGGAAAATTAAACTTGTACAGGCTGGAAAAAGAGGCTGTGGGGGAATATGATTTTGGCCAATGAGTACAGACAGACGCTGCAAAGAAGCAGAAAATTGTTCTCGTTATTTAACAGGGAAGAAAGAGCCTAGAAACAATGGAGGGAAAATGAGCAAGAGGCTAGAATGGCTTAAAGGGCCAGAAAGATATTGATGGTGGTGCCAAGAGGTGCCAGGGGAATGGAGCCCAAGTTGCGGCAGCTCACCACGTTCTGGCTGGGTAGATACCTACTGGTCATGGGGATGGGGCCTCCGGCAGCTGGAGAACAAGGCTGTGGGATCTCTGTGAGCAAATTGCTTTGTTCTGCTGTGCCTCAGTTTCCCCAGCATTAACCTGAGATCAGTGAGTCCTTTCCAAGGGGGTTGCTTGGCTTCGAGTGTGCGATGGCTGGGAGCTTCCGAAGATGCCATTGAGCTGCAGCAGGAGATGGGCATCTAATGCCTCGAGGATCCTTTGGTAAGTGTCATGCCAAGCTTTTCTCAACTCTGCAATTGGAAGGTGCTTATTGCTCGAAGGACATGTCCACACTCCAGTCCTACCGCATGATAGCAGCTCCGCTGGACGCACTGGAGTGAGCTTCCCATTCAGGTACCAATAACAGCAGCGCTGCATCAGCGTGGACCTCAGCTTCCTGAGTATTTGCCAAGGTTGCCAGATGGTTTTTGCAAACCCCATGGACTCCCAGGCTCCTGAAACTAGGCAACACAAAGCCATCGTGGGGATGTCTAGATGAGTGGTGGCCCTGCTTTGACTACAGTGTGGACGTACCCTTCCAGCCATGGTGTCTGGTGGCACATTTTGCCTCCTTTACCCCGCCTGCCACCATTCTTCTTCTGGCATTAAGGAAGGCAGAAGAAGATGACTTGGAGGGCACTGGTTTAGCTGGAGGGGTGGCAACCACAAAGATGGAGGGGTCTGGGAGAGAGGAGCTTTTAATGACTAAATGATTGAGTTGCCTTTTACCTGGAGTGAGCTCGTTTATCAGCCAGCATGAGCTAAATATCCTCCTAATGAATGAGAAGTGTTAATGAGCTCTGCGTGCCTTTGGGGGTGATGGCAGGAGACAGCTTGATGAAGCAGCCTGCTGGCCTGCTCTGGGAGAGCACGTGTGGTGGGACCATAAATCAGGCTTGTTCTGCTGTTCCTTCCACCTCCCTTTCTGCAGCCGGTGGCACAGAGCAGTAGATGTTATGTGGGTCTGATCAGCTTTCCCTGGGATTTCCCTACTGATTTCACTGGGGAGCGGGAGCAAGGAGGTGCACGTTCACTGAGGACTCTGCTCATAGGGCGGCCTCTTGGCATCTCCAAGGGCTGGGAGGAAATGTTGAGGGACTATTGGGTGAGGTTTAGGCTGGAGAGGAGTTTTACTGTCAGTCCAGGGTCCCTGTGTGCCAGCTGAGAGTGAGAAACAGGATGCTCGGGAGTCATGGAAGGGCTTCCCGTTGCCTTGTAGATGACCCAGAAGCTCCTTCACTTAAAAGCAGACTGGATAAGGCACAAACAAGGGCACTGCAGGTACAGACCGTCCCTGTTTTGCACAAGCAGCTCTGTTGGTAGGCTTCTTCTACCTTTTGTTTGCTATGGGTAGCCTTAGAAGGGGCACACCGCAGCTGCTCCATAGGCATCCAGTGTATCGGGACGAGTGAGATTTTCAGGAGGCTTTGACCAGCCCAAGCTGAAAGCTGGCTTGTCATCTGCCCTCTGGGAGCTTTCTGTGTTTAGAAAGCCCACAAGAGACAGGCTTGTTATGCCATAGCATTATGGCATTTCAGCCTCAGGCCCTGCCTGGGCCCAGGAATGCTCATGCCACATGAGCATGAGGGACCATTAACTCATTGGAGATGAGCATTTTCAGGCTTTGTAAAAGGTTAGGATTATGAAGGGAAAGTCTTGACTTCCTATACATTGGTGCATCCATGCCTGCTAACCCTACTTGCTTTTTGCCATGAGTCTGGGGGGGGCTGAGCACCCGTGAGTTCCTCTGAGCTCCTGCTTTGGGAACCCCAGTTTGCAGGTCCTTATTGTGAAGCACCCAGGTCTCCTGGTTTTTAGAGGGGCTTGGCAAGCACAGCTGAGAGCCCTGGATGCCGAGAGCAACTCAGGATTGCAACCAGTGATCCCTTGGCTGCTGATCCTCATCTTTGGTAGGGTGATGCATGGCTATGTGAGCTGAGGACCTCACCATGGGGCGAAAAAAAAGCCCCTGGGGGGGGTTGGGGAGGAGGTACCCTGTAGTTTGTTTTGACCCTCATCCTCCCCAGTTTCTGCTTACAAAATAGGAAAGAATTAAAACCTGTCAGCAGCTTTTAAAAACCAACCCCAAACATCTTTTATTAAATTATAGCCCTATTGATCTAGCAGCTATCCAAAAGGGGATTGATTGAGAACTTAAACAGACGCGCGCCTGGGCCAGACGTTCAATTAATGTGCATAAATGGGCAGCGGAGAAGCAGTTTTCGGAGCAAGTCAAGAACACAATCGATCCTGTTTTGTCGCCTGGGCTGAAGCTGCGTGTGCATCTCTTTTTGTTCCTTTATGCAAGGTGGGCTGGTGTGAAGGGGTGATTGAGGTCATGCCCACCCTGCTACCGGAGCCAACTTTCTGTGTCCTTTGATGGGTGGGATGGGGGGAAGATTTCTTCTGAAAGCCACTGGCCTCAGGTGACCTAATAAATTAGTGGCTCTCAACCTTTTTAGAGATGCAGGGTGCCCCCCACTGGAAAATGAAGCTCTTAGCTTTCTCTTGTTTTTTTGCCTCCTGAAAAATTAACAGAACAGTTCTTCTTTTGCAAAGGACACAGGGAGACCATGGCAGGCCAGAATATTTGTGACACTGTGGATTCCTATTTGAAATCTCCGGGTTTATCTTGTGAATCATGTAGGGGTTTGCACATGTAACGGTGCTAACATTGAGTGGCATCGTAGCACCAAACCAGCCTCCGAACGTCCCCTCGGGCTGAGGACTGGCACGTTCCCTTGAACCGTGAGCTACTTCCTATGATTTGGGTCAGGTTTCTGAAAAGCACCATTATTCTCTTGCTCCCTTCACCTCTGTCCCCACAATTATTGAGTTATTCCCGATTGCGGCCGGCTAGCAATGGTAAAAAATGGTGAGTGGGTTCTCAGGGTCCCATGTCCTTCTCTGGACTTGCACTGAGGATCCTAGGGTCACCTATTAGCTGCCTATTCCAACCTGTTAGAGTCCCTGAAAAATGGTTAATACCCAAGGCAGTTGAGCCTTCTTTCTCCCCGGCGTCTTGTTTTAAGACCACGGTGACGGGATGTTACAAAAATGGAGGCATTCGTGGCTTTTCAGGCACTTGAATGGGATGGAAAAGGATCACGTTTAGGTGCCTAATGGGTGGAGTAGAACTGGCCCCTAATTCTGGCTGTTCTCAGGCCTGAAAGGATAGCTGAATATGGGTGTGAACAGCCTCCAGATGTTTGCGTTTGGACCGGGGGTCGGTCTGGGCCTATTCTAACTGCAAAGAAGATTAATTTATTTTCCCCGGGTTGCACCAGAACATCCACGAGAGTTTCTGTTGCCATGAGACTGCTAGCCCGTCTCGTCCGGCTCAAAGGATTTGGTTCTGATCTCACTTAAATCTGTGGGGTGATATCAGCATAACATTGGCTTAAGTGGGATCACCCTGACTTAGATCAGCCCAAAGCGAGAGCGGAGGGAGGCTCATTGCATCTTCCGCAGCCAAATCCAGGCACTCGTCTCCTTGGAGTTGACTTGCCCACCTGCGGTGTCCTCCCAGCGGCCCTGCCAGCCCCTGCCAAGGGGCCAGCTGTCTCCTGAACCAGCGTCACCGATGAGTCAGAGGAGCAGACAGCTCCTGCCTTCCCTGAAGGCCCTTGTCCTGGCATTCGGGGCTCCTTCTGCGGCAGGGGCGGAGGGGTTGTGTGTTCAGGAAGGAAGCTATAATTAGCAGGTCCTCACAATCGCTGTCACCAAGGGGCTTTTCCTGCTGGAAGCACTGTGCCTGGAGATGGTTTTCATTGCTATTTTAAAGCATTTCTTCCTTGTCCCCCTTGCACTTAGCTGGGAGCTCCTCTCTGATACAGGCTGAGTGGCTATGGGAGCTGTGGGAAGCAAAAAAGGGTTGAGGGACAAGCTCATAGTCTACTCTTCTTCCCCTCTCTCTTATGTGACCAAAGGAAGGGGGGTAGCATAGGAAGGGGTTGGGGGGACAGGGGGCAGTTTTCCAGTACTTGTAAGGCTGCCAGGAAGGAGGAGAAAAACTGTTCTCTCCTGCTGCAGAAAGCAGGGCCCAAGTTAACGGCTCCGGAGCAGATTCGGCTTGAATCTCAGGAGAACGGAGCAGCAGGACCATGGGCCAAGGAGCCCAGGGAGGCTGGGGAATCTCCTTCATCAAGGCAAACCTGCGTCTCCAAAGCAGGTTGGAGTAGCGCCCGGAGGTCTCTTCTGGCCCGAGGATGGTCATTCTGGGCATTCGCCAGGGCCCTGCAGGCAGTTCACAAGGGGAAGAAGAAAGAAGGATGCTGAAGCGTGCGGGGAAGAGGCTGAGGGAAAGGGAAGGGCAGGGCCGGTTTGGAGGCACAAAGGATGAGGCTGCAAGGGAGAGAGGAGGGTAGGGGG